TTTCCCTATATTGAACAAATTTATTCATATTCTTCAACTAACCTTTGTAAAATATCTTATTCCCAATTTACATGATTTATTTATAAATTTTGTATTTATCTATTATTTCCTTTCATCCAAAACTCCATTACAATTAGATATTTGTACTGACATATTTTATTCTCAACCTTAAGTTACACAACTATTATTATTATTATATTATTAATTTTTATACAATTAAATATTCATTTCAACTTGTTTAAAATAAATTTTACTTCTATATTTGCTTACAATTTTAAACGGGTTTACAGGTTGGCTGACTTATATTTTATAATACGTGTCCAATATATATAAATGCAAGCAAAAGAATTCCCCATTCAAAGATGAGGGATCTACACCAAACTTATAATTGCAAGGTATTTTATAAAAATATTTATCCTAGTTTCAAAAATAGATTAACCCTATTTTTGTTTAAAATGAAAGAAAATAAAGAAGTGATTTTTATAACCAAATTTGATGGAAATGCATAAATAAACAAAATATGTTTTTTTCTCAATTATATATAGGGACGAAGATATACAGATAGTATTATAGTCTATTTTTTTTTTTTAGTTTCATAAAGCAATAGAAAGTGAAAATTATTATTTCCACTCCAATTAAAAAATAGAGCAAAAGTGAGATATGAAATGCGTTCTTCTACCAGTTATATATGTAAAAAAAAAAACATTAATGTAAGATTTTTAAAATATTAGTTAAGATGGTAAAAGATTTTGCTTAAAAATTCTATGATGTTTAGATAATAATTGTTGTTATACTATTAGTTATTTCATGTATCTACTTTAAAGAAAGAGACAAATATAAAGAGAGAGAAAAAAATTAAAACACATGACTCACACAAAATGATAACAATATCTTCATCTAGTATTTTTAAATAAACAACACAAAAAAACAACAAATATATAAAAAAAGGCATAATTCTATCAAAAAGGTTGCCACACAAAAACTTTAATTTAAATTCTTATTACTTAATATTTTCTCTCATCAAAACTTTATATTACAACTATTTTATACTTCTTATACACTCAGAGAAACATTTTGAATTAAACTGAAAAAATAAAAAAAACCCTAAATTAATTAAAAACATAAGATAAATATCGAATAATAACTTCTAAGTTATATTTTAAAGTCTTTCTAACGTAAATGATTATTAGATCCCTATAAACTTTTTAAAAAATTTCATTATAATCCAAAAATTATAATGAAATTTATATTCATTATTATTATGTTTGATGAAAAAAAATTTACATCACTGTTCTTATTTAAAAAATAAATTAAACTAAAAATTACAATAATAAGATTTCATAAATACACTAGTTTCATTATTAAAATACCATCTTAAACAAAATATGTCAAAATTTAATTTTAATATACAAAAACTCATTGTATTATTTATTGCAGCAATAAAATTCATTATGGGTGGCGTATTTCCTTCACCAAATGCTAAATTAATTTCTTCTTCTCAACAAATGGAACAACACTCATGTGCATGGCCCCACATAAGTACATGATAAAAAATAGTGAAGTACTTTCTGCACACATGTCCCACTTTACATCAGACGGTGCAGAGGATTGGAAAGTGGGAACACAAAATGTTAACATGAGCACATGATCCAAGACATGCCATGCGGGTCTCCAGTACTAGCTCTCGTCGACAGAACCACCGACACTGAAAGCCACGATAAAATTCATCAAACTCGTCTTGATCTTGCCACGTCTCATACTTCCGTACAATCAGCCACAGTGTAAACCGCGTTTGTGGGCCCTGCAACATGTCACTCGCTTCTCATGCTTGTACCCTGTCAAGATCTGGAAACAGAAAAATATACTGTAGATACTTTGAGTGTTACCCGGTTTTCGAGTATTGAGATTAAATTATACTTTGATCAGATCTTAAATTTGTCACTATTAGCGATTTATTGTTATCTTTTCTTTAAAATTGAAGCTTTGTGTGATAAATGAGAAGGAGATTACACGCTAATTGTGTTATTATATCTATAAAAATATATTTTAAATAGGATATGGTTATTATCTCAAGATAAAAGAAAAAAACTGAGACAATAAAATATAATAAACATGTTTTTGTGTTGTTTTTATTTTGAAAATATAAAAATTATTTTCAAAGTTAATACAAAAATAAATTTATTTTGTACATATCTTCATCCTTTAATAACATACCTATTTGTTCATGAGACACTAACTAATACAAGCTTAATTATAATGGATTCCTTGAAATTTACATAAGAAAAGAAAATTGGATAATTTTATTTTTTTCAAAATTATTTTATTTTATTTCATAAAAAATTACATTTAATACATTTCACTTGTTTGTCTTCAAATTATTTATTCTTTTCATGAAAAAAAGATTGAATTATATATATATATATAATAACAACTATAATTCTGTTTTAAATTATGATAATGATTGCAATTCAAAATTGTTTTACATAGAAATAAATCAAAATAAAATTTTATTATTTAAAAAAATTAATAAAAACATATCAAAATAATTTAAAAAATATAAAAATATTAGCAAAAATAATAAAAATTTAAGAGATTAAGATTTTAACTGCGTTCTCGAACGATCTCTTAAAACATTTATAATTGAGGTTTTAAAAAAATAGGTTAAAAATTATTTTTAGTTGTGGTATAAAAAATAATTTTTTTAAAAAAATATAAATTTTGTTAAAATTATTGTGAAATAAATTTTTACAAGTAAGAAAAATAAAAAATCTGATTTTCATGAGTGAAAAGCAGGTTGGTTTGGAACACAATTACATGTAAGGTCAAAAACAATTTCTTTGGGAAAAAAAATTATCATAATATTAAACAATATCTTAATCATTTTGAACACAATTAATTTTTTTCATTTTAATTATTTGTATGCTAGTATATACCTGTTTAAAAATATAATAGTTTTTACTTTTGTATACTTTTCATAAGTGTATTTATTTTGATAAAATATATAATTAATTTTTTATGCTTTTAATAAACTAATTAAAAAATATAAATATTTTTTTAAATATTTTTTTTAAAATAATTTGTATGCAATATCAAACACAAGGAAATAATTTAATTTGTGACACTGCAATGTCAAACGTACAACACAAGGATAGAGCAAAAGTCCAAAAATCACGAGAAGCAGCTAAAAAATACCAAAAAGATGATGATAGCATAGCATGCAGAAGATTACAGCCCACTCCTCTTCAACCTGTGCTATATATAACTCTCTCTCACGCATGCTTCAAAGAGAAGAGATCCTCGCACCCTATGTGTAGAGATTGTTAAGCCTATAGCAACGCAACATTATACATCACAGAATATTTTTTGGTTTTTGCCTAGGCTTCTTTCTCTCAAAAACAGGACAGTGAGGAAAAACAGAGAAAATGGAAGCTTTTTACTATCTGGTTTTTGGGGCATTAAGTGCTGTAGTTTTAGGAATTGAGCTAAGCAAGACAACAAAAGATCGAATCAATACATCTCCTGCTTTCAATTCTTTCAAGAACAATTACCTTGTTGTTTACTCTCTTATGATGGGTAAGTGTTCCCTTTCTTTCATTAAAAATTCAAACTTTTTAGATCTATCATTATCTTTATATGGATCTGATGTGATTTATGTGTTTTTGATTGGTTCTTGGAGGTGGGTTTATTAGCATTTTTGTGGGATTGGTTTTGTTGATGCTGAAAGCTCAAAACTTTATGAAAACAATGAGTCGTGTAAGAATGTGGGATTTAGGCTGTGTTTTTTGTATGGCGGGGACATTGGATCTGGATTTAGATTTTTCATAAATTTATGGGTCTTCTTTTGTTTGTTTTGTCTACTACTTAGTGGAGGGTCGGTATTTGGTGCTGTAAAGGTTTGAGCTTACTTTGCGTTTTGTACAGAAAGGCAAGTGTCTGCCTTGTAAACTGATCACGGAGATTGGATCTGGTGTCTTTGATATGTCAAAATAATGACTTCATTTGGGATTTATTTTTCATTTTGATTAGATACTTGAATGATCTTGTTTATTTTGTTGAATTTTAGTTAAGCAGTTTTTTAAGGCTTTAGCTGGATTTGAAATTTCTTAATTCTTGCCTTTAGTATCAGAGCAGAGCTTGTTAATTCAGTTGTTTCAACAATTATGTTTATGATAAATTACTGTTTTTTGTGGTGACAGCTGGTGATTGGTTGCAAGGTCCATATGTTTACTTCCTTTACACTACGTACGGCTTTGGGAAAGGGGATATTGGGCGGCTGTTTATTGCTGGTTTCGGGTCCTCCATGCTGTTTGGGACAATTGTTGGATCGTTGGCTGATAAACAGTGAGAGTTTCCTCCGAGTTTTGTTATTGTTTTCTAAAAGTTCTCTTTCTTTTGCTAAGTGTGCTCTGCTTGGTTTTATATCAGGGGTCGAAGGAGGGCATGTGTGACTTATTGCATTACCTATATACTGAGTTGCATTACCAAGCATTCTCCTCAGTACAGAATTTTAATGATAGGCCGTATCCTGGGAGGTATCGCCACTTCTCTCTTATTTTCATCATTTGAGTCATGGCTGGTTGCGGAACACAATAAGGTAAAGGATCGTGTTTCTGCTTTAGTGCTATTTGTTATTACTGGCTGCATTTAGGTCTAGAAGAACAAATAATTAAGTGATCACTTGGTATGTCAGAGAACCTCCTAAAATTAATTGGTTCAAGATTTCCAATCCAAGTTTCTGCTATAGCAGTTTCTACGTGCTAGTCTTTGCTAAAATCAATTCAATCTAATCAGTAACTGATGCCTGATTACCTTTGAATGTTGCCTATCTTAATTCTTCTTTATTTCGCTTTACTGGTGCAGAGGGGCTTTGAGCAACAATGGCTATCACTGACATTTTCAAAGGCGATTTTTCTGGGAAATGGTCTTGTGGCAATTTTGTCTGGATTGTTTGGAAACCTTCTTGTAGATACATTTCAACTTGGTCCTGTGGCTCCTTTTGATGCTGCTGCATGCTTTCTTGCAATTGGAATGGCTATTATTATGTCATCATGGTCAGAGAACTATGGAGATCCTTCAGAAAACAAGGACTTGCTTGCCCAATTTAGGGGTGCTGCTGTGGCCATTGCTTCTGGTAGAGTCCTCTAGTTGCTTTGCATGATGCATTCATTGTTCCTTGTGGTGTATGGCAAGCTAGTTTGTTTTCAGTTTGTTTCTTCCTTGTTTTCAACATTCCTTCCCCATTTTCTTCCCTTTTCCTTTTTTCTTTTTTTCCTCTGAATTATGTTAAATATTGTTCAGATGAAAAAATTGCTTTGCTGGGTGCCATTCAGTCTCTGTTTGAAGGTTCTATGTATACCTTTGTGTTCCTTTGGACACCAGCTTTGAGCCCAAATGATGAAGAGATTCCTCACGGATTTATTTTTGCTACATTCATGTTGGCCTCAATGTTGGGAAGCTCTCTTGCATCTCGGTTGATGGCCCGCTCATCACCCAGAGTAGAGAGCTACATGCAGATTGTTTTTGTTGTTTCATCAGCCTCTCTTTTGCTTCCTATTGTATCCAGTGTATGTATAATTTCCCATCCATTCTTTTACTCCTTTCTTGCCCCTTTCAATTTCTCTTATTAATCTTCAGTTTCTCTGACATGGAACAGTTCTTAGTGCCACCTCCTAAAGAGAAAGGTGAAGGCATCTCATTCTCAGGCTGTCTCCAGATACTCGGCTTCTGTACCTTTGAGGCTTGTGTAGGGATATTCTGGCCTTCCATTATGAAGATGAGGTCCCAATACATTCCTGAGGAGGCCAGGAGCACCATCATGAACTTCTTCCGCATTCCACTCAATATCTTTGTTTGCATTGTTCTGTACAATGTAAGTTACTAGCTTTACTGTGTATCATGACTCATTAGGAGTAGCAAATGTAGAATTGCTTATAGAGCTGAAAAAACCCAGATTAATTTCCAGGAATTTATGAATTTATGCCAGTGCATATTAGTTTTGATAACCCTCAGTGGAAAAAGTGCACTGGTTTAACATTCGACTGGTTAAGACCAACTCCATTGGTAGCCATCTTCAGCATGACCAATCTGTAACCTGGAAGTAGTTTTTTGCTCCATGCTTACCACCTTCCCCCTCCCCACCCATCCTACCATGACTGGAAACACCGAGTGTCTCTTGTTTTCGTTACTAACTCGTTCTTTGGTTTTTGATTTGAAGGTTAATGCTTTCCCTATCACCATTATGTTCGGCATGTGCTCGATTTTCCTCTTCATGGCATCTATCTTGCAGAGGAGGCTCATGATGATTGCAGACAAGCCAAGTAAATATTTGCCTTAATCTTTGCTACTTCTGTTGAACTTTGATATAAATGCAGTGCTCAGTTCATTTTACATTATATTATGCCTGCTGCATGGTGGGAGAAAATATGGTGCTAATGGTTCCAATACTTGCCTGTTGTGAATTATTACAGAGACAGAAGAGTGGTCGATGAAGGAAAGGGATACCGAGGCAGAGCCGCTAAACATCTGATTAATCTCTACACAGTAGACCGGAGATTTTTGGAAACAACCATCCAAGTCATTCTATACATTTGCTGTGCTTCCAACTAGATGTGATTTAGCCTTGAAATTTAACAAGGAGACTATAGTGGTCTGTCCTTCAAAGAAAAAGGAGATACAAATATTTCTCTTGAGCTTCTATAATTATCATTCTTTTTTGGCTGTCACCTGTTTGACAGAGTAGTGTATTAGCAGTCTTTTCTTTCATCCCCTCCTTGCTTGTTAGGAATTTGACATGTCTCCAAAGTAATTCATGTTATTCTTCTCAAAGCTTGGTCTATAATTTTGTATCTACTGCAAGTGTATCTGGCTTCTTAATAGACTCGCCTGCTTTTTCATTTTTTTGGTTTGAAATGATTTTTTTGAGTGTTTTTAGGAGAATGGCCGGCCATGTAGAATCACTAAAATGCTAAAAAACACATGCGCTTCACTAGCAAAGAAAGTTGAGTCGTTTGGGACTTGAACGGATGATTGGCTGTTGAATGTCAGTAGATCAATGCTTGTGGCACCTTTAGCTTTTCATGGAAGATTTAACGTTGGGATTAAAGTGTTTTTTTTATGTTGTGGTTTAAGGTGTTTTTTTTTTATATATATATATATAAATATATTAAAATAAATTTTTTTTATTTTTTAAAAATTATTTTTAAAATTAGCATGTTAAAAATAAATATAAAAACTATTTAATAAAAAATTTAAATCTAAAGTAACGTGGTTTCAATTATGTTTTCAAATGTGGTTTTAATAATATGAAAATAGAGAAAAGAAAAATCTATAAGATAAAGATAAGTTTTTATACCAAAATAAAATTTTCATGAATTTCGTGTGTAATTTACTTTTTAGTTCATTTTCTTTTAATTTTATATTTTTATGATAATTTAAATCTAATTCCATTAAATTATGCTATATAAGGTTAAGTTGCACTTCACCTGAACAGTAAATCAACCCATATATTTTTGTTATTTTGTTAATTAGGTTATTAATCATACTACACCGCGGCTTAAAAAAATAAAAATTGAAGGTTATTTTTTAAAAAAACATCTAGAATATATAATTTTTTTTATATTATTATTAAATTTAGTATAATGAATTAGATTTGAAAACTCTTTTTATTTAGCTCAGATTTAAAATTAAATTGGTAAAAATTTATTAAGATGGTAAAAAAGTAACAGACGATACTTTACCCACGAGATTGCAGCCTGGATTCCGACCACGGCGAGAAGAATGAGCGAAGGGGTTTTTGGCCAGCGGCGAGGAGCGAGGCATGCTTTTGAGCAAAAGGGTCAACACGCCACTCAAACAAGCATTTCAGCAAAATGGAGAGCTTCTGGGGCCACTCCGCCACCTTAAAAACCAAAAGTCACGTGATGGTTTTCCACCGAGATGATCGGACAAATTGGGATATGCAGTGATGGGAGTGCTGACTCGGAGACTGATTCAGCCATGATAGCTGAAGAAATATCCCATCAACATGGAGATGCTATTTGGGATTGTCTGTCAGATCATTGATTATGTTAAATTGCTTCTCAGTAGCCACCGTGAATTTGTACAAAGGGCTGCCAATGCTGCTAGATAACTAGAAATATTTGTTTCCTGCTTAACAGAGACTTTCCTCCTCCATTTTTATTTTTATATTTTTTTATTGATATAAGTATTCAGACCAACCTATATAAATGCACTAATTTCATGAGTTTAAAATTAATAATCAGAAACTTTAAAATTTATAAAATTTAAATTAATGACTTCTATAGAACAAATCTAAATTCTAATTAATTAAGTTATATCTTTCAAAGTTACATTACTTATAATTATAAGCTATGTTTAATAAGCTACACATATTTGTATAACTCTTATAATTATAGTGAAAAAAGTTATTAATTAGTAAAAATATTTATTAATTTGATGGAGTTTAATCCAAAATGAAATTATTTTTATCCTTTTAAAAAATTAAAATAATTTTGTAAATTTTTTTCTAGTATTTGTTAAGTTTTTTTTTTAATATTTGCATCGATTTTTTTTTCTTTTTCATTGTGTTTACAGTATACTAGTAAAAAAAATTAAAATTTTTATTTTATTTTATTTTATTTCTATCTCTAAATATTTTAGTAATATTAAAAATTTATTATTCAAAACTTAGTTATAATTCTACACAGAAATAAAATTCATTGAAAGAAATTGAAGAGAAAGGTTGCCTCAACGTTGGTGATTAAGGATCATGACAATTTAAATACTGGATTAGCTTTGTTTTTATATTTTAAAAAAATTTAAATAATTGTTGAGCTGGGTATTTAGATTTTAATTTATTAAGATCATGTTCTTTGGCTGCATAAAAAAAATTGATATTTTTTTAATGTTTATAATAATTTTGATGTGTTTATATTAAAAATAAAAAAATAAGAAAAAGTAATTTTTTACTGTTAATTCCTCTTTCTCATTACTCATTACTAGTAAATTTGAAAAAAATCATGAAATAAAGAAATATATAAAAATTGAAACCTAAAAAGGTAAATATAAATATAAAAGATAATGAAGAAATAATAAATCAAATCTAAAAAATATATAATCCGCAAGATCATCCCCTTTCAAGATTTATTTTTTATTTTTTATTTTCTTATACTTATCCTTTTAGTTTCAAATATTTTCATCCATTTCATATAAATCTAAGATTTTATGCCTTTTATTTTCATTTTTTTAGTATTTCTTTTTATGTTTCTTTTTTTTCCTCCACGATTTTATCGAGTATTCGTAGCATATTCCAAGAAATATCCAAAAAACACTGTGCAAAAAGATGGATTAACCGTATAAAGAAACTTAAAGTGTGGGAGTAAAACTAAGAAACTATTTTGTTGAGGGACTACTTGTATAAAATATAAAACCTATGAGGATCTCCAAAGGTCAATAACCCCACCCCTCATTTTCCTTTGTTCCCTCCTCCTGCCAGGTTTATAGGCAGGGAAGAGGATGAAGGCGATAAAAAGCTAATCTTGATCAGAAATTCTCCATGGATCAAGAGAGAATGAGAGCAAAACAAGAACAGCCCATTATCAGCAACGGAGCCAAGAAGACAAGGGATCAGCCAAATCTGACAGAATGTCAGTCTTGTGGTCTCCGCATCTCCTCCCATAAAAGACTCGAAATTTTATACAGTGAGTGGCGAATCATCCTTCTTTGTACGAAATGTTTTAATCTTGTTGAGTCTTCCGGGATTTGCTCTTATTGTTTCAGACAATCATCTGATAAGACTAAGTGTTTTCGTTGTTGCCAATGTAAGAGGGTTGTTCATAAATCATGTTTTGCAAAACGTAAGGCTGTCACCCCTTGGTCGTATTCTAGTTGTGGTGGTGGTGGTGATTTTTTTGTTTGTATAGATTGTTGGGTGCCTAATTCGGTTGCTAGTAAGAGGGGGGGAGTTTGTAAGGATAGCAAGAGGAATAGCGGTAGGGTTTTGGGTAGAAGTTTGGAGGATGCTAATTGTGTGGTACAGGAGAAGGTTGAGGCTGCGGTTAGGGCTAGGGATTTGGCTGTGAGGAAGGCGTTGGAGGAGAGGAATGCGGCGGATGTGGCCAGGAAAGCATTGGATATGGTGGCTAATAATGGGGTTGTTAAGGAGAATAATGATGTTGATGATTTTGAATTGGCATTTCGGTTGCATCGAGCAATAAATAGCTCGCCCCGGATATCGAGTAATTTGTGCTTGGTTAATTCAAGTTGTTTGGGTGTTGCTAGGAGAGGGGAGGGTAATGGTAAAACGCGGATTAGAGATTCTGATTTTAGGAATCCCAGTGCTTGTGGAAAGCATGATGATTTTCTGAGTAAAAGTGTGGACTTGGAGTGTCGGAAATCGAATGGAATTGGTGATGGTAAAATCAGACCTAATGCTAAGAAAGATGGAAATGCGGGCAAGTGTTCGAAGATGGGAGAACAGAGCTTTTCCAGCAAATTGATAGACTCAAGGGGGAATGACCATAGTGTGAACTCTGGTTCTCAATCTTTTAGGGAACGAAATGAGTCTATGACACCTGATGATAAAAGTTGCAAGGGAAAAAATGACCGCTATCTGCTGAAGTATAGTAAGAGAAAGTTAGATGAGAGGTTAATTCCAGATGGTGGACCCAAGTTCCTCTATGAAGGCTTGCACTCAGGACTTGCACCTCAGCAATGGAACAGCTGCTAAGGTGTTCTAAAGAATTGTTGGGGATCTGTCAAGGATGACACCAAATCTGTAGATTTACCTATAATTTTCCGATAGGTTCTCAACTTTTGAGGTTTCCAAGAGTTAAAACAATGTGCTTTCCTTTATGTATGAAATTCTTTGTACTTGTGATCTTTCATATTACATTCTTAAATTCAATCTTTGTGCTTTCTGTTTTCTATCTGTAATTACATCTCTTACATGCTCTCTTCTCTGGCCGTGCTGGTTACTCTTTTACTTGTATCATATGAGCATGCTTAAATAGAAATATCATTGATATTTAACCTGAGTGACTGACGATGGCACACTTCCATGGTATTAGAAGGAATGGAAAAGAAGCCAATTTATGGAAGAATGCAGAAAAGATCTGTTCAGGATTTTATATCAGCTTTATGTGGCTGTTAATTTATGTGCCAAACATGTCCTTTCCTCGGTGTCATTTTGAAAATTGTGAATGTGGATAATTAGCTTAACTTGATAGAGTTTTGTTTCTTGCTTATGGACTGTTTCACTAAATGTTGCTTATTTCGCAATAAGTTGCTACAATTGAATTCATTCTTGGAAGTATATTGTCTCTGGGATGCTATGTTTAATTAGCTCCAATAGAATCAAAATACTGATAAGTTCGTTCTTCATATAAGGACTGACATTTTGCTCCTGCTTCTCTGTTATGGACTGCAGACACCTCTCTGATCTTGTGCCTTGTATTCGACTGTTTTGGTTGATGATGCTTGTTTTGTGAGAAATCTTATTTCACTATGCATTCAGTGGTAATGTTGCTGTTGCATTAATCCTACTGATTCTAATCTGTTGATGCAAATTATGAGGCAGCAATACTCCAATTGTTTCTCTGGGTTTAACAACTGTTTCTGCATTGCTACAGCTGTTTCTTACTTGGCTGATTTAGTTTGCAGGAGTTGATTCTGGCTTTAACTTTGTTATAGGCAGTCTATGAAGTCCTACACTTTTGACTGGCCCATGTAATTCTCTCTCTTGTTGTAGGTTTTGGCTCCTTTGGCTGCATTTTGTGTACCAAACTGGCTTAGGCTGATTTAGTTTGCAGGAGTTGATTCTGGCTTTAACTTTGTTATAGGCAGTCTATGAAGTCCTACACTTTTGACTGGCCCATGTAATTCTCTTTCTTGTTGTAG